GAAACAGTTATCCTCCCTCCTCTCTCTCTCTCTCCCTCGGTACGTTTAATTATTTCACCGGGAACCGATACCCGGTTTGCCCATTGTCCCATTTGTACAGGCGACGAAGAACGAGAAACTGGAACGGAAATTGCGTTTCGAAATTGAGTCGGACGGCTGGCTTTCTCCTTTTAACACCCGCCAAGTGTCCCCGCGATATCGCGATGATTTTCTATCCGTTCCAAATTTCTCGATGAGAAATAATCCTGCGTGTCCTTTCGTTCCTCGCTTAAAAGGGAAACGAAGAAGGGGTGGCAAGTGATAGGGCGAGTCCTCGACGATGGATTCGCAATTATCTGTAATTAGAGACTAGAACCGTCGTTCCAGCATTTGGAAGTGGTTTCCGATTCGACGGTTGAATTGATTTTAATGATCGTTAAGAAGCGATTGCGCGAGGATGGTGGAAACTTTTTGGCAGAACTCTCCCGATTAGTCGCAAGCTTCTTCGAGTTTTAAGGAGAATAGTTGGACGAGTGGGAATGGAATTAGAGGGGAATCGAAATCGGTTTCCAAAATTCCGAAATGGCCCGATTAATAACATTCGCGGGATTCGTTTCTAATTTCGAAGGAAGGAGGCGGGTTGGAAATTCGATCTCGCTTGGAATCCAATTTCGGGAGAGAGAGGGAGATGGTCCAACGAAAGCCAGAAACGCGTCATACCGGTATCAAATTATACGCCTAGCTTTAATCCAATAATCATTACTCCGGAGGAATGTCTAACTTCGGCTAATATTCGATTCGGCCGCGGCACGTAACAAGAACTGGCCACCTCCATCTCCGCGTCATTGTAAGTTTGCAACTTGGCGCTGACTGCATCGCCATTCGCTTCGTTAACCGGATTCCTCGCAATCCCGCCTCGATTTCACGCTTCGATCATCCACGGATCGCTGCAAACCTCGAATTGATCCTGCTTGCTTATTTCAACTTCTTCGGGGACAACAAGAAATCGTAACAATCGTTAAAATTCTCAACGTTTCATAAGAAAGATCGAATCGAATATTTTTTTTCTCGTAAAAATTGCGCGAGATTCGAGTCGAAGCAAGTAAACACGGGTATTTTCGGCGTTAACAAGGTTAAGTTAATCGAACGATCGAAACAATTGGGTAGATTTTATAATTTGAAAAGTTCTCCAGAGAGCGAATCTCCAGGTTAAAGTTTCGGGAACGATGTTGATTAAGACGTTGGTGTTTTTTTTTTTTTTTTGGAGGGTGAACGAGATATCGAGATGAGCGTAATCGATGAAGGAGAGGCGCGATATCGAGACAGTTTTCGTTTCTCGCGGAGTTGGAAGCGCGGTTGGAAGCAAGAGGAAACTTTCTTCTTCTTCTTCTTCTTGCTTTTAACTTTAAGTTTCCGCTCTCCGGGTTCTTTTTCGCGAGCAAAAATATCGCGAGAAGGTTGGTGAAACGAGTTTACAACCGGTTTAGAATCGGTGGTTAATCCGAGATTTTTTCTTCCTCCCTTTTTTTTTTCAACGCGCGGTTTCATCTCTTTGATCTCTCGAGAAAAGAAGAAGAAAAAGGAATAAAGAAACGGACGCTCGAAAGTTTCCGATTTTGAAACAGGGAAATTTTATTCCAACTTGAAATTGCTCGCGTCGATGCTCGAGCGGGGGTAAAATTGTATTTGCATGGAAATTGCCTTGCGCGCTGGTCCGAACACTAATCATCCCGACTGTTGATCCAATTAAATGCGTTATTCATGATTTTCCAGCGTAAAAATTTAATCCAATCGGAAAGGCGAAATCGGACGAACCACGTGCTGCTCCTTCCTTCGTCCCGATCGGATCATTCACGATCCTGATTAGAATCACTACACTTTCCAACTAAAATCATCTTAATTATTGCTCCGTTTCTCGATCGAAAAAGAAAAAACGTTGAACCGTTTACTTCTCCTATCGACGTCGCGCGAGCATAATTTCAATATTCGATGCAATTCTTCGAAGGACGATGTAAATGTGAGAAACTGGCCGAAAAATACGAAGAAAAGAGACGAAAATCTTCGCCCAAAAATCCCGAAAAGTGGAGGTGACGATTCGTTTTCCATTCAATTTCCCCTCAAATTCCCGAGAAAACCCTTTCAACGGCTATTTTCCAATCGCCACAAACGGAATAATTTGTCCTGGTCGACAAATGCAATACACGTAAAACACATATTAAAAAGTCGGGAAAAGTGTAAAAAGAGAAGAGTGGTCTCACTCACCCGCGTCTCACGAAGTTGGCCAAGTAGTGGACCAACAGTTTGGACAGGTTCTCGTCGGCCGAGGTGTAGTTGGCCTGGCCGATGAAAATGGACACGATCTCTCCCCGGAGAAGAGGTATGCCGAGGAGGTAGGGCACCTCCTCGCCCCTTTGGCTCGGCCTCTCGCCCAGCTGGAAGTGGAGGAAGTAGCCGCGTCCACCCGAGGCCGAGTGCAGCAGCGCCAGCCTTAGAAGGGGAGCGGCGACCTGGCCGTCGCCGAGCAACGACAAAAGTCCATCGCAGATCGCCGACGGGCTCTGCTCGCCCCTCTCCCAGTCCGTGTACTCGTTACGGAGGGTCGAGTAGATCTCGTGAAGGTGGTAACGATACGTGTTCCGCACGTACGTGCGCAAAATCCGATCCCTCCTCGTCTCGTTCAGTCCGTTCTGCAATGCACGTCCGATCGACCACGGCTCGTGGATCGAAAGGGAGGAGGGGGAAAGGGAGAGGGAGATCCTTCTCTTTTCTTCCTTTTTCTCGCGAATAATACGACGGAGGAGAGGGATCGATAAGGTTTCGACTCGGTTATGAAAATAAAAACAGGCTAATGCGCGGACAAGAGATACGAGTTGTAGGAGAAATGTGCACGATTGGTGCACAAATTATTTCGTTGCGATCCAAAAATAGTATTGATAATTAATAAAAAAAAAAAGAATAGAAGAATCGTTACAAAATTTTACTTGCGATTAAATGCGAACAAATCATCAATTGTAACAATTATCCGAACCGTTATTCGAACTATCGATCTCGAACCAAAGCGACGAAGAGAAAAAAAGGGATTAACGAAATTAACGCGCAAGGGTTTCGATTCGTTCAATGGATACTGCATCGACTATCCCAAAATTTAACCCAATATAATGCATTCGCAGACAAACCGGAACCAGACACCGCACAATAACCTCGACGATCCAGAGATAATCCAGACACGATTACCGAGATCCCTCGTCCGCTGTATTTCGACGCACAAAGAAGGCAACTGTCTCGACTCGTTCGAAATTCAAGACGGCGCGAAACGAAAGACCGTAAATCATCGGAGATGGCTTCTCGTTACGCACGCGTGGACACAACCGGCCGATCGTTATCAAATTGCCAAGGAGCCGCGGAAATACGGTTTCCAAAGTGTCGATCGACCGTGACCGTCGGATAATGCCCGCCACGAATCGCGTTTCGCCACCGCCCCGCTAATTACTAATTTATCGAGTTCGCGTCAATTATCGACGGGTGCGCGCATCCGATCCCCTCTCGCCCCGCATCTCGTTAAGCGGGATAATTAAAAGTTAAATTCGACGACGGTTTCGGTTTCGGGCTAATTTCTTTTAATTCCCTCGTTACGTAATCTCGTTTTCGAGAGGGGATCGAATGGGGGGAGGGGGGAGGCGGGGGAGGGGGGGGGGGAATAACGAGAAATTCTGTTTTTCTGTTCTCTTCTTGAGGGAAGCAGAAAGGTGTATATTCGTGAATATATTAATATTAATAATGTCGCGGATATAAATCCATTTTATAAACGTTATGTAGAAGATAATCGTTTAAAAGACGTAATAACAAGTATATGTTTTTAAATATGCTTACAACACTTGATAATGTCGAGATATATTCCGTAAATTTATTAAGAAACGTTTAAGCTTTTAAATCGTTATAAATTATCGTATCGTGAAAGCGGTTTCTTGTTACATCTATCATTCATTCATATTTTGCGCGATTATTTAATTAAAGATTCGCAAATATTTGTATATATTTATATATTTAGTCATATCTTTGCGTAACACACATTATATTTTTAATGAACCGATAAATTATAATAAAAACCGGCATTGTTTTCTAAAGAGATTAAATCTCCGTGACACGACGAAGCTAAAAACCAGAAAGGAAAAAAAAAGATAATAATTTATCGTCCAATTAACTCCCATTATTCGAACCACCGCTATGCCGATCCCTCGGATTTTGGGGATTCGTTTTAATTAAAATTCTCCCGTAAATAAATCATTGTTTTAATATACATCTTGCAATCCCCCTCTTCCTCTAACCCATATATACCTCTCTCTCTCTCCNNCTCTCTCTCTACT